AGTTAATTAAAAATATGATTTTTGGTAGTGATCTGCAGGTGCTAGGCGTCCTAGGATACAGGACCCCCCCAAAAAAAGAAAAAATTTTTTGCAAAAAAAGAGCAGAAGTTTTGTAAAGGAGTTTTAAAAGTTTTTTGCATAAAACCTTCAATATTAATCCAATATTAATATATAATATATCAAAATGAAGCTCTAAGTGAGTTTTGTCTTTTTGTTTAAGATAGCAACTAAGGTTAGCTTAGTAAAGTTTTAAAAATTTTAAAAAAGTATTTTGCAATTTAATAAATATATCTCACTGTATAAAGGTCCAGAAGATATAAAACTAGGCCGCTTATATGTAAATTTAGTTGTAAACAATTTTACTTAGAAGGCCAGGAAAGGTTTACATAATAAGTTATTTAGTTATTGCCAGTTTATTATCAGAGAATTTTGGTACAAGTAATCGTTGGAAAGAGTTAATGATTTGCGTCCTTAATTTATTTTATATTTATTTTTATTTATAAAGATTTTATTTAATTCTTTATTGTTATCTATTAGTATGTTCTAATTTTTTAATTTAATAAAAATATTATTATAAAAACCATCATGAGAGTTCAGTATATTACTAATTTCATTTTTATTAATTTCAAATAAAATCTTTTTAAAAAGATTTTATTTCATTCAATTCATTTATAATTTTTCTTAATATTATAAAATATCTTTCTTATTTTCTACTAATTAGAAAAGTTTTTTTATTATACTGAGCATTACTTGTTTTTCTTAATTCAAGAATAGATTTATTTATATATTTATTATAGAAAAAAATACAAACAAAACCAAATTATTTGTATCTTTTTTTTTTGAATAATATTATATTTACTTTTGAATTAACCTACTCATAAATGAAGTCATGAGGCAGGACATTATTGTGAGTTATAGGACTGCTGGTTGCCATATTTGTATTGAGTAATTTGATGATCTGTAGATTCTTTGTTCTTGAATTTTCTGCTCAACTTTGTGTCCAGCTACATCACAAGAGCAAGCCAGCTTTTTGAAACCAGTTTTAGCAAGTTGTATATGATGAAAAAAACCCAAAAAATCTAAGAAACCCAAGAAATGCCATTTGAAGTTAGTAGTAAGACAGCTACCTTACAACTAGAAAACAGCTGTATAATGGACTGGAATTGGCTATGAATATCAGACTTGAGAGCCATGTGCCAGAAGTGTGGTATGCAGATGAATGGTAGTAAAATGGAACTAGTAAATTGTTTAAAAAACTTTTGAAGTGAGCCTAAAAAAGAATCTAGAAAACCTGAAAAAGACCTGAAACAACCAGGAAATGAGAAAGAAAAACCGTAGACCAAAGTTTCAGCAATAGATATGAAAAAAGAAGTGACTCTCTGCAGGAAGAACTTAGTAACCAAAGTGAAATCTTCTTCACCTATATAAAAAATAGATTGAAGAAAAGAATTGAGGAAAAGTTAGAAGAATCTTTTACAAAGGCCTTGAATAGGAACTTACAACAATGGATGACAAAGATGAACAGAATAGATAAAATAGAAGCAAACTTCTCAAAAAAGAAGTTTAAAGAACACAAGACCAATATAAATATGATACAGTGTGTGATGCTAGTGTTCTGCTTTAGAAAGCAATCCAGAAAGATTTGAAGAAAAAGGTAATAGAAATACAAGAACAACTAAGGATGAGGGCATTTATCTTGAGAATGACTAAAAAGGAAGGCTGGAATATGGTAATAAAAATTTCAAAACCAATATCTAGTGAGATGATAAATTTAAGAAGTTGTTAATAGAAGCAAGAAAGCAAGCAAGATTACAGGAAGGATACTCCATATCATATAACTGAAGAGTTTGGCAAACCAAAGAATGAATAAATTGAAATTGGAATTTAAGTTCAAACTATTATATACCTTACTTCTAACTCTATTCATATATCTAGCACCTCTCACCTCTTCATACTTACCAAAATCAGAATTAAAACCAAAATCAAAACATGTTTTCGAATTCTGGCTTAACCTACTAAAACTTATTTAGCAAGGCATCAAGTAGGCAGTTTACATGTTACTATTATGAGGGCATAGGTTATATGGCATCAGTTTGTGCCTTGAGATCAGCAGAAGGCAGTTCAAAAGAAAACAGATTTTTTCAGAACAAGAGTGGTAGTTGATTACACTCAGGAGAAAGAAAGCAAAGGGAAGAGCAAAGAGGTAGACAATATAGAACATTGCAGAGAAGTTGTTAGAAAAATTCAGAGCAATAAAATATTGGATGGAGAAGATAAACCCACTATCAGTTGTAGCTTGTTGGTTAAGAAATTAGGTACCTTTGTTCTTAAAGGATGTATGGAGTCTCATCAAGAGCAGCTTTATACAATGACTTCAGACCAAGAAGAATGGCTAGAGGTGGAAATTCATCAGTTAGAGAAGTTGGGTGCAATAGAAAAAGTGGGCATGACAATGTTTGCTCAGCTTCTCTGCTAGAAGTATCTTCAGTTTTCTTGGGGCCAAAACTAGTGCCAAAATGTTTCTACCTGGTGATAAATTTGAGAAGACTAAATGAAAAGCTGCTAAAAAAATCATTTCAGTTCAAGGAACTAGGCAGCCTACTAAGGTCAATTAGAAAAAATTGGTCAATGATAATGTTGAACTTAAAAGACAGTTATCATTATATATTAATGAACAAAAAAGCTCATCATTTTCTAGAGTTTTTTGTAAGAAGAACTTGGTATCAGTACTAAGTGTTGCTATTCACCTTTACAGGCAGTCTGAATATTTTTGAAGATAATTTGGGCACTAATTACCTACTAGAGAATGAAAGAAATAGCCTTAGGGTTGCATGTAGATGATATCTGGATAGTGCACCCCTTGGCAGCTATACTGGAAAGAATCTGAGATGAGATTATCCTACTGGACCTAATGAACTGTAACTTCATTTTTGCCTGAAACAAAAGCAGTCTGATATCATCAAGAATAATAAAATTCTACAGATTATTGGTAGATACAGAGAAAGCACAAGTGATTACTTCAGAGTCAAAATTGAAAGTAACAAAGACATGTCTAAAAGCACTAACAGATATAAATTAGGTAATAGTCAGACATTTGGCAAGAATTATAGAAAAAGTTCAGTGCCTTGTGAGGGCTTTTGTTCTAGCACAGATAAAATGCTTGGAGTTTTACTCTTTTTTAGACATGATGAATAGAAAACCTAGAGAATAGAACAGGAAAGTTTGGTTATTAGATTAGGCAAAAATGAACCTATGCTAGTTATTAGAAAATTTAAAAAGGTACAATAGTCATCTGGCCTGGAGGCTGTCCTTAATAAGAAGTTTGTTCGTAGATGCCTCTATAACTGGTTGATGTGCAAAACTAGAGGGCATGATGGCATTCGGAAATTGAATAAGGAAATCAGATTGTTAGAAGATCGCAAAGTTAGAGACCAAGTCAGTTCTGTTTGGG